TCTGTTCCCATCTGGGGTCAAATTTATTGGCACAAAGTTTACTAGACACCTTTATGGTTTTTTTTTGTTTGTTTGTTTGTTTTGTTTTTCCAGACATGGCTTCTCTGTGTAGTTTTGGAGCCTGTCCTGGAACTTGCTCTGTAGACCAGGCTGGCCTCGAACTCAACAGAGATCCACCTGGCTCTGCTTCCCGGGTGCTGGGATTAAAAGCGTGTACCACCACCGCCTGGTGACCTTTATGTTTTTAACACCATGCTTCATGTACAGCATTTTGCCTGCATTGTGTCTGCACCACACGAGTGCCTGGTCACCTTCAAGTCCTCATGTCTGTGGAATCTGCAGTTACATCCCCTCATCCCACATACTGTTGAATCTCTCCTTTCTTTTCCCCCTTTTTCCTTTTCTTCTTTTAGTATTTTTTTATTTCATTTTTATGTATATGGATGCATTGCTTGCACGTATATCTGTGCACCACATGTGCGCCTCAGGCTCACAGAATTGAGAAGAGGGCGTTGGATTTCCTGGACCTGAACTTATGGAGAGCTGTGAACTGCCGTGTGGGAGCTGGGTATGGAACCTGGATCCTCTAGAAGAGCACCCAGTGTTCTTAAACAGTGAACCATTTTTTTGCACCCCCCACTTTCTTTTTTAAATGACATTTATTTATTTTGTATGTGTGTGGTTATGTGCTCAGACGTGTTCTAGGGATAACCCACCATGTGGGTCCCAGGGATTGAACTCAGATTGTCAGGATGGCCACAAGGGCCTTCACCCACTGAGCCATCTGGCTGGCCCTCTCCCTTCCACTTTATTTCATTAAATATTCATTCAATATTTAATTCCTTTAAAAGCAGTTGTGCAGTAGCAATCCTTATAAATGTACTAAGATTTGCTTTATGTTTCCATATATGATTGTCTCAGTTCAGGGTTTCTGTGGCTGTGATAAAACACTATGCCCAAAAGCAACCTAGGAGCAAAGTATTTATTTCGTTTCCACTTCCAGGCAACAGTCCATCACTGAGGGAAGTCAGGGTAGGAACCTGGAGACAGGAGCTGATACAGAGACCATGGAGAAGTGCTGCTTACTGCCTTACCACATCAACCACCAATCAAGTAAATGTCCCACAGGCCAATCAGGTGGGGGCATTCCTCAATTGAGGTTCCCTCTTCCAAAATGACTCTAGCTGCTATCAAGTTGGCATAAACTAGCCAGCACAATGGTCCATGTAGTAAAGGTTATATTTGCACTTTTTTTTTTTTTTTGGGAGCTGAGGACCGAACCCAGGGCCTTGTGTATATTTGCACTTTTAAAAGTGTAGTTCTTGGGGCTGGAGAGATGCCTCAGTGGTTAAGCACACTGGGATTAAAGGTGTGCGCCTGAGAAGTAGTT